CTGTGTTTTCTGTGTTGTTCTACAAACAGGTTATCTGAATATTGAGGGAGATTAGGAATTAGCCCAATGTATCATGGCAAATCATTGGCAAAACTGGTAAAACAACTCAGGAGTCCTGAAGAGAAATTATATGGTCAAGGAGAAAACAAGCTATTCCATTCCCACAGACAGGAACAAAACGTATCATTAAGGAACAAAGGAATATGTAATTTAAGAATATTTACGGAAGAAGCAGGGATAAAAGACAAGTCCTTTCCCTGAGCAGGGTATGAGAAAGAAGCCTTTATAAAGCAGGAAAATGGATTCCTGTTTGAACAAAACCAGAGAAGTATGCAGAATTCTTTGTCTTGTGTCCTTCTGCTTGCATGAAGCAGTTAAGCAAAACATTAGCTACAAAAACTACAGGTCTTCTGACCTAAAGAGAAAGCAGTGTTGAGGGTGTTCAGCTGTTTCACCACTGACAAAAAAAATGGGGCTCCGGATGCTCTGAGAGCTCCTGGGGCAGGGTGCAGAGCCAGGTGACTGCCCTTTTAAGTTGGCTGAGACACTGAAGTGGTCACAAAGCACCTTGACTCAAGTGTAATCTTAGAAACGTATTTGTTGCTTCATCAACAGTTTCCATTATTGCAATTGTATAGTTTAAGAGAATAAAATTGGTCTTTTACCTACCTAACATATTATCTAATTAAAAAAAAAAAACAAAAAAAAAAAACAAAACCCAAACCAAACAGCTCCAGGTAACCTGGTAAGTACAATGAGAGTAAAGTTCTTTCACAAGTAGTAAACTGGAGATCTTTGTAGAGTGAGGGGACACATTTAATTCCTTGTTGTAAGAGTAGGTTTAGGATCTAGGGGTTCCCTCCATAAAACCTGTAATCTCTGGTGACAGGCAATTAGCAGCATTCCTCAGAAAGCAGTACAATAATGTTGAACACCCTGTGTCCCCATGAATCGTGCCTTCAGAGAGCAGAAAATGGAGCTGCTCTTTAGAAGCTGTTCTTAACTGGAAGTTTACAAGAGAAAAAGCAAAAGTCAAGCATGCACTATGAAAGAAGTGCTGCAGTGGGAAAGCAAGTGACAGGCAAGGAGGGAGGAAAAGAAGGGCACTGATGTTGCAGGAAAGTATGTGCTTTGCAGATCAGGAAAAAAATTGCAGAAATTTGGATTGTAGGCTCTAAAACTGTAGTAAATAGCATCTCAGATAGGAGTTTGAGCCAAACTCTCCTATTTTTACACTAAAAGGAGATGGATCCACATTTTGAATATGGCTCATTACTACTAGTGACCCTACTGAAACAGTGATGTGCACGTCCAAAAGAAAAGTACGAGGCAGTATCATTTTAGGAATGCTGGGAATAGATGACAGCAGGATCAAAACAAATATTGGGGTTTCATAATAATATGTAGAAACTATCATTTGATTATGTACTTAATCTATTCTTTCCTTTACATATTTTGTAAACCAACTAGGTATGTTCATGAAAACCAGTATTTCTTCACAAAGCATCGGGACTCTTAATGGCATCCATGTACCTTTGCAGAATGAAATGCTGGATCTGAATTTTATCTAAATGGTATGACTGCATGAAAGTTATCATGATTAAAATGTTTTTCTATATTTGCATCAAAAGATCCCAGCCTCATGTTCACTAATGTATACTCAGTGTGAACATAAATGCTGGGCAGGAACGGTTCTTTTAAATTATAGCATTTCAGAACATCTGGTTATGTGATATAACGTCCTAATGTCACTGGTAATCATCTGCATGACAGAACCTGGTGGTAGAATCAAGCACTATTTAAAGTGAAGCATAATTACAGCAACATTTGCAAGCTGTATAACTAAGCCTATCCTTTACCCTTAGCAAGTACGCAAGTCAAACGTAAAAAAAATTCCTTAAGCAATTAAGCAGTAAGGCCCCAGTCAAAGTCGTCATACTAAGCCCATGCTGTTTACAGGATCACAGCTGTTAGGCCCCAGCTCTGCAAATTCGCCAGCCCCACACTTCACTTCAAGCAAAAATTGGATACAGAGGATGTTGTAGTCCTGATTTTGCAAAGCAATCCACAGGGTGCAATGAGGAGGTGGTTTGCATCATTGGGATTTGAAAACATTTTGTTTCAATACAAATAGCCTTATCCCAAGAGAATTCTCGCAAAATAAATACTGTATTTCCATATTGATGAGAATGAATAAAATGTATAGTGTTAAACATGTAAGCATAACTAAATTTTTAATACTCTCATCTAGTGCTTGTACGCATGTATTTAAGCAATGACAAATCTTTCAGAGCATGTACAAATTAAAGTTTCCTTAAGAGTAACAAATATCCCCATCCTTTCAGTAACTACCTTTTTTTAATCAACATCTTAATCCTCCAAAAGCAGAAGCCTTGTATCATTCCCATAATGAGAACTGACTCACGTGGGTATACATCAAGTGTTAACAGAAGAATGAGACTGCTGAATAATAAAGTAAGCAAATCAGTGTCCTGAAAGGTCAGTTAAAAAATGGTAGCAATTCCAGCAATTGCATGTTAGTGTGAGGTGTTGCAAACAAGAAGAAAATCCTGGTATTCCTGACAGTAAATAATTTTCAGAAAGTATCAAGAAGATACCAAGAACTAGGCTTTCCAAAAAAGTATGGGGCTTAAAATTTGTAGCCTAAGCAATAAGTATTGAAGAATAAGTCAAAGGATTTCCAGTAACTCTGTATTGAAGGGATTTTCCTCAAAAATAAGCACTGAATAGAACATCTACTTTACATGAGTTTTCTTACAGAACTTTGTGTCATAAATTTAAAATGTAAGGGTGTGAAACAAAAAGGGGCCCAAACAATAGGCCTCAAACCAAAGTTGACTTCTGAGTGAATTCCCCGACCAGCAATCAGCATCTTATCGGCAGAATGAAACAACCAGCACCTTATCAGCATGAAAATGTAACCCTGGGAACAATCCCTGGGAACTATAAGTGAACAATAGGAAGTAACTATAAATCCCAAATGTAAAGAAAAACAGAAACTCCTCAGACACCCGGATCCTGGCCAGATCCGGACATGCCTGAGTGAGGCACATCAATCTACCAGATATCTCCTGTGCGTTTTGTTTAGCCTTGTTTGTTAAACTGTATAAAAGCCGGACCCTCTCACCGCACAGAGACCTCACCTACGAGCAGACGCCCTGCGTGGGACCTCCCAGTTGCCGGAAAAGGCTCTGCGACCCTTCGCTGTGACGGGGCTCCCCAGCTGATGCACGGGTCGGGGTGATGGTAAAGTAGGAGGGCAATTGGTGATGTACCTTTCTTAATCACTACAACTAGCTTTATGTAGTAATGACTGGGTGCATTACCTTGCTTATTCTTTCTGCTGTTTTAAACAGTAATGTCTAGGTGCATTACCTTGCTTATTCTTTCTGCTGCTTTAAACTAAAGTAAAATAAGCCTATTTCTTTAGCTTGGTGTCTGTGTCCTTTGTGTTAACCCCGTCAATTGGCAAAACAGGGTGTTGCATTTAAGGTGACAAATTAATTTGTTAAGAGATGAATTCCCTTTCATACTAGCTGGTCCTCAGAAACTAGAGGGGCTAGGGGCAGCTGGACTTATTTCTGGCCAATTATTGGTGTGACTGTAGGCCTGACACCAGGTGCATGAACAGCCCATGTGCTGTAGGTCCGGTGGCATTCAAGAGAAGTAGTCAGGTCCACGAACAGTACGGTTTATTCTTATGCAACATTTACAGTCTTTGAGATTGACTACAATAAACGAGCAAACTGCAGGTTGGCTATATAGCACTACAGACAACAACAACTTCAATCACAATCTTAATTCCCGGGTAATCACTTAGCATAGCCAAGGGCACAAATCTTACCAAAAGGTGTCCCTTCGGGGGGGGGGGGGGGGGGGGGGGGGGCGAGGAGCACAAACCCATCAATCTGTCCCCTTCAGTTTGGTGTCAGATTCTAGTCTCTCAAGTTAGATACAAACCCAGGGTAGTATTTACTAGGGGTGTATGTGTGAGTGTGTGGGACTGCGGTCAAGTCATCGTTTCTTGAATAATGACACAACACATTCCTTGGTGCAATGTGCAGACAGTGAAAAGCGGAACAACAGGAGGTAATGTCTGCATATTTGTTCAAAACATTCCTTGAGAAAGTTGGAAGAACTGGACCGTGCGGCCTCCACCTTGCTTCGCATTCCTCCTTGGTGCCACGGCAATGCAAATTACTGGATCTTCATCTTGTCCTGGGTTTTGTTCTGGGCACCAGGTGCTAAGGGAATGTGTATTTAGCAGGTTTTTTTGCTGTTCTGCATTTCCCACACTTCACAAAGGTGTTTTGTTTTGTTTTGGTGTTTTTGTTTTTTTTTTTTTTTTTAAATTCAACACCTTCATTTTGGTTTCTTTAGTTCACCATTTTGATTTCACTATTTATTCCATACTTTGTGGTATACTGAATTAGCTGGTTTTCTGCGCCATTTCAATAACATTTTCCTATTGGAAACAATGCATGTCTACCTTTTTTTTTTCCATTCATACTGTTTCCCCATGCATACTGTTTCCCCATACTGTTGTGACAGTGGCCAGCATCACAACACAAAGAAGAGATTAAACATTTATGCCCCTCTTAGTCACTCTGCAGCTGAAGTGAGTGGTTCAGCTATCTGGGCCTTGTTTTACAGAATGGTATGAAGGACTTTAGTTTTGCAGGTTTTAAGGACCACAGTCACGAAAAACTTATTCAGATTGGTCCACCAACCTGGAGGATCAAGGCAGCGCATTAGGGCTGAAAAACATGTGGCAAAGGGAGGGCTGCACGACCCCAGGCACAACCAGGAGTCCCCCGGCTTCTGGGCTCCAGACCTGGCCACCTGGACTGCCCCAGGGGTTTGAGACAGGGCAAGGACTCCACACTACTGCAGAAGACACCTCCCTCTTGACAGCTACTTAGCTGTGAGAAAGTAAAGGAGACGTTTTCCCACTGCCATGACCAAAGTGCATGATCAAGGGTGCAGTTCTCACAGGAGGGGAAGGGGGAACTGGAATAAAGCCTGTAAAATGACACGCTTTCATTCCCTGGTCCTTTCAGGGATGCTGCGGGCAAATACCCACTGCTACTGGGAAACAATCTTGTGGATTATATCATAGGATTATAGTGAATATTATAGTTGAGCAAATTTTGGCTGTGGGAGGAATGCAGGGAATGCATTAGCGGGTAACACTGTATTTTTGGCTGTGAGTCAGCATAAGGCAATGTACACTGTGGCTCATCCGAATTACTCTGCTGTTGATGCGTTTCTCCCTTCTATTTGAAACAGCGGTTTTCCAGCACTGCTCCTACCTCATTGCCATCTTCGTCCCCTCAACGAATACCGTGTCCCACCGCGCACCCACACGCAGGGACGCGCTGGCGGGCGCAGCACAGCAGTGCTGCCGCACAGCCCGGTTACAGACGTCCCTGCAGGAACCATCTGGCTCTTGGCTGAATTAATGCCTTTCTGACCCTGATCTGCTGTGTCCTCCAAGAGTGTATTTTCATTATCTCACAAGAGCAGAAAATGAACTGTAAGCATTTTAAGACCTTATGTATCATTTTCCTTCCCCCCCCCCTTCATGCATTTAATTAATACATTTAATTTGTGGCTATAATAAGCCGCAGGTCCTCTGTTGGTGTGAATCAGTGGTGCTCAGATTCTTCATGCATTCAGAGGCCAAAAAACCTCCCTCTAATAAAGAGGAATCCTAACAGCACTGTAACACTCAAGATGGTATAATGTATTATGCAGGTCCTTGACATATTTCAAGCAATGTTTAACCAGCAGCTCACGTTTACATGATAGAATTGTGTGCTGGAGATGTTATTCAAGGGGCAGGTGTACAGAATTCACTCAGTATATTCACTCAATTTTAGAGAGACGCTTTAAGGCTTCGGACAGCTTCTCATCCTTAAGGGAAGTGCCTTGACTGCCTGTTTGCTATGACCTGCATTTCTGCCAGGAACCTTGCACATTTGGTAGCAACAGGTTTGTTCTTCCTGAGGTGCCCTCACCCGAGAAGCAGTCGGCGCTAGAGAAGCGCTCACTGAACTGAAGGGGGCGATACACCTGCTACGGAGCTATCACTTAGGGGTCACGCTATCGGCTTATTTCCCGCTGGTTTGGTTTGGTTTTTCCCTGCAACAACCCCTACAAACACTTTTATTCTAACTACCAGGCTGAAGGCGGGCGGTACGGACAAACCCACTGGGGCAGCTCGACCGCAAGATGGCGGCCGGGAGCCCGCCCGTCGCCTCCCTACGCGTGCCGCGCGGGGCGGCCGGAGCCTCGCGCTGCCCCGGCCCCGCCCACAGCGCCGCAGACCGGCCATCGCGCGCGCGCCGAGCGCCGCTGCTGGGCGGGGCCTGAGCACAGCGCGCGCCCATAGTGCGCCGCGCTCGGCCGGAAGTGACGCTGCTGTTGGCCGTGCGGGGCGGTGGGCGGTAGGTGCGGGGCCGGGAGGGCCCCGGGGCACCCGGGCACCCTCCCCGCTTCTTCCCTGTCCTCCTGGGGGCGCGGGCTGGGCGGTGGGGTGCGGGCTGGGCGGTGGGGCGGCGAGGCGGTCCTTCGGAGGGAGAGCGCCGGGACCGGGCCTGTGGGCAGCGCCTCGGCATCCCCCTGCCGCGGCCTGGCCGCCGGGTCCCGCGGGTGGCTGGGCGGTGCTCGGGAACTCCCGGCCCCCGTTTTCCAGCCCTTGTCTCCCGCAAATGGTGCGGTGTAACCTGAAGAGATCTGGCTAGGTTTGCGGGGTGGCTCTTGGTTTTCTTGTAAGGAGCCTGCAAGCATAGCTTTAAAGAAGAGATTAAGAGCGCAGGCTCCGGCACCTTGTGCAGTAGAAAGTTTCTGATTGTCTTCTCTGTGTTACAGATGTTTCTCGTGTGCTGAACTCCACCTTAGATTGTCTTATTGCTGCACATTGAGAACTTCATAAAAAGTAGGAAGTCAAGATGAAGAGCAGGGTGACACAAGTGAATGTAAGTGTTGTTAAACCTAAATGGTAGGGTTTGACTATTCCCTTATTGCTGCTGATTAGATTTGTAGTTGATATTATATTAAATAAAACACCATGAATGTAAAGCAAACAATACTCATAATTGACAGCAGCTGTTTACAGGAGAAATATTACAATGAAGTCAGGGAATTACAGCAGTTTCTAGTGTTTGTTGTCCTAACAATGAAAGTTCTGGACACTGATAGCATATAATGATAAAGTAATTGGTGAAAAGTTACTGAATGATGGCTTAAGAGAGAACATAAGTGTGTGGAGAAATGGAGAAGAGGCGTTGAAGAATCAACAATGATGTTAAAAGATCAAGAGACAGGAAGTAACTGCTATTGTGCTAACTGTATTTCTTACTGTGAGTTAAAGCTTTCCCTTTTAAAAGCTGTGCTGTACGTTTCTGAATGAATGGGAGTGATTTTTAGGAATGTAAGAAGAAGAAAACTTGCTTTAAAATTACTCTCCTAAGATGATGGTTTAGCAATGTCACGTTTGTAAAGTACACTAAGTTTGGGACAGGTTAGCAGAGCAAGACTCTTTCGACACACTGTCTGAAATCTGTGGTGTTTCTCTGCTGCTGTTTCTAGCCTTTGACCCTGCATAGGCCTCTTCACTCTTTTGGTTCCAACTTTTCTGACTGATGTGTTTTTTTAATAGAGATGCTTGAGGGATAGTTTGATATCTTCTCATATCTTCCCAGTCTGGTAGTTATGGTAGTGCTCCCTCATCTGTTGAAATAAGCCAGTTAGCAGAAGTGCACTGTTTGGACACTTTCAGTTAATCGTTTTGATCAGAATGAACAAAGGAAATGGCTGTAACTTGTGGCAGAAAGCCAGGTCGTGAGGAGCTCAGGGCGACAAGTTTTTCAGCAAACATAGCTACTTTTGCAAGGAGACCTCATGTAACTGCAAAATACACATACATATATGACCTTGTTTTATTTCCGTGAACACTTGTCTTTTTCGGTCTGCTTGGGCAAAGGCAGATGATGTAGAACTTGTGAGAATGGATCATCCTGAAAAGACCCATTTCTTCCCGTCTGCTAAATGTTATTTAAATATAGTAACCGTTCCGTGTTGTTCAAAGATTAGTGTTGGAAGCTTAGGATACAGTCTTGCGTTATATTATTTTGGGAAAAAAACAACTTAAGAACTTTTTAAGTTTGAATGATTTCAGTGATCTGCTGTATGCTGTAGTCCTACAAATGAGTATTGAAAGGGGAAGAAAACCTTAGTGAAAATTCGTTAATTTCTTACACTAGCTTTGTCATCAAAGACAATGTTACTTCGGAATTAAATTGTCAAATGGACATTATTTTTATAGGGATGCATACTCCCAGGAAATGATACAGTGCTTTTGTTTTATACCATTGTCTTGGTTCAGGAAAGATAATACTGGAAATAATTGTAAAACTGTGTTAGAGAGATAACCTAGGGAAGGTGATATTCTAGAATATATTATAGTAGCCTCAAAAATACAAATACAAATTTACCTATATATACACATCCCAATTTGAGTGATAACAGGTCAGCCTCCTTGGCCTGTTGATAGGGGATGATGCTTGTAATCATTGTGTTGCTATTATTTCGTTAGGAAGCCTCAGTTAATGTTGGTTTTACTTACAAAGCTCATGATAAACACCATGTTTGTCATTCAGTAAAGACACTTTTCAATTCAATTTTTGGAGATCATTGGGTATAACTGTCTGTCAAGGTTTGCTTATGAAGGAGTTGTCATCGTTTTCATCGTAATCAACAGTTTTAACTGATTCTTTTGTGGGGCAAAAACTAGTGTGCTGGTATGTTAATGGATAGAATGCCACCTCAACAAATGAGTTATTTCTACAAAAAGTTCAGTTAAGGTGCAAAAACAAGTCCTTGCATTGAGTTTCTGCATCAAGGTGAAGTGTTACCTATTTCACAGCTGATCGCTGGCTGATAACAGGAGATTGTGACTCTTGAAAATCATAAATAATATTTTAAGGGAAGAGAGGACCCGTCTTTCTAGGTGTGTTGTAGGTGTTCTTGTGCTCCAGTTTTTGTGTATGACTCCATACTTCTATATGTCATGGTTCAGCCCACAGAATTTGCTGTGAACTATTTAAATGTGTATCACTTAAACAATCCTGCAAACTTACATTTCAAAAACATCTAGAATTTACTTCCAGGATCTGTCAAGTGGAACAGTGTAGCTTAGATGTTTGTAATGTATGAAACTAGGAATGACTCATGAGAAAGTAAATCATGGTTAGTAAAAAGGAGGAAAATAAGGAAGAATTATGCAATAAAGGGTATTTTTAGGAGAGGAAAGATACTCTTCAAAGAAGAAGTGGTAGAATTATGTTAATGGTATTGCACGTTATGGAACGAAGTGTAAAATGGGATATAGAAGGAAGCAGGAAAGGGAGACTAAAGGTCCATCTGCTCTAGACTCCAGCAGTAATTGGCAATGAATGCCTTGAAAAGTTTAGGTACAGGGCAACCATAAGAGTACTCACCGACACGCTCGCCCTGCCTATTAGCAGCTTCCCAAGACAGTTTTTGGTAACCTGTGTGAATTTTTCTTCAGTGTTTGTCCAGTTTCGTGAACAGATGTAAGCCTTTGGCATCTGCAGCATCCTGTAGCAGGGAGTTCAGCTGCTTAACTACTTGTTTAGAACCAACTCTCCTTGTCAAAACTGACTCCCATTAGCTTTATTTGATGGCCCTTCTTGAAAAGAAGTAGGGAACTGGAGACATGGTGTGCTTTGATCTCAAGATACATGTGCTCACAGTAATTTATGTATAATGTTGTGGCTTGATTTTTTTTTTCTTTGTGTTTTATTAAAGCATGGTTCCAGTTATGAAAGGAAAGAAAACTATGATTCCTGCCAAAAGAGTTTGTCTCCAGAGGACAGGTAGAACGATTGATTTTTATACCCTATAATTCTGTGTATATACCACACGTAGTAAGTTAGATAAGTATAAAAAGAAACAGAACCTGATTATTTATTTCTTTTAATATTACCATAACTGAGAAGTGAAAAATAAGTGTAGGTTTAATAAAATACTTGCATTCAATATTGCAGTAATTCGGTAGGTTTGTTATTAAAACTAAATCTGTAAAAAATCCTTAGCATTCAGTTAAATTGTCATAGGACTTGAAAATGGAAATTAGATGCCAGCTTTTTGCTTGGACTCACATATTGCTGTTACCTTATCTCTTTAGAGCAAGATTATTAATGCCAGCAGGAGGTGGAGGAATAGCATCTGAAGTGTGGTCTACTGAGGCATGAGATAAACTGTTACCAGTTTACTTCTAATTTCACATTTTAATTGCAATAAAACCTCTTGTACTAAACACAATATTTTTTTTTTTCTAATAATGTCTATTCTGTTTCATTCTATACAGGCAAAAGTAGGTGAAACAAATTAATGCGTATGTTCCAAGGAATGCACAGAGCTGAATTTACCTTTGGTATTTGATATTATTACCATTTAGCATTTAAGTTCTAGGAGGAGCATCCTTTTACAGTGCTGCTTTGATTTTTTTTTTGATTATTTTTTTCCTGACAACAAATTACTGTAAAAGGAGCATCTTCTACTTGAATGATATGAATACTGAAACTCAGGTTGCAGAAGTGGAATGATTCTGTAGCATAACATTAGATTGCAAGTAGATAGCAATAGCATTGCTCTTCTAAGTCTGTTACTAAGATTTCTGTGTCTTGGGTTGCAAATAGGGATACTGAGCATGACAGGTCTCCATCTCCCAGAAGGAGAAGATACTCTGATGACAGCAGATATGATCAGGAATATTCAAGAAGGGAATACTATGATGACAGAACTTCAGAAGGAAGGTATCAAGCCCGTTTTTAATCTGTAATAAAATACTCATTTTAAAGAATAAAATGTGAAAAATTTTCATGAACCCTTGGGTGTTCTTTTCCTCCTAGAAGGATGGAAAGGGGGAGAGAGAGACACCATGAAAAATGGGAGGAGAGAGAATCTGATCGAAGGAAGCAGAGAAGGTATTCATCACCTGATCGTAGGAGTCCAGAGAGGTCAACAGCGCAGAGCTCACTTGCTCAGGATGAGACCACTTCAAAAAAGAAGAAAGAAGAAGTGGATCCAATCCTTACTCGCACAGGTGGTGCATATATTCCTCCTGCCAAACTCAGGATGATGCAAGAGCAAATCACTGATAAAAATAGGTGAGTTGAAAGTAACACTAGAGTTTTTGCTGAAAAGCAAAGCAGTAAAAGGTTTCAGTGAATGTTGATAAAAATCAGATCTGTTGAGATCTGTGATGATTCTTTTGGAGGTATGTTTTTGCTGGAGGAAAGGTAAAAGAATCAGATTATGACGGCAACTGCTTCTGCTGCAAAGTGTAAATGGAAAAGTGGGATACAGAACATAACTAGGGATTTATTTTTTTTTTTAATATCTTAGAAAATGGAACATACTGCTTTATACCTCATCTGCAGAGAATTGTGTTTTGGGATATCATGTTGGTTTAGTGATTTCCAAGTAGCTAAATGTATAATTGTGAACTAGTCTTCACATTTATGCAGTGAATATTTTCTTTCCTATTTTACTGATTACAACTTACATTCATGTTTTCATAGATATAAAAATTCACTCAGTTCTACCTCAAATCTATGCATTAATAATTTGTTACCTTTGTAATAGCTTGGCATATCAGAGGATGAGTTGGGAAGCCTTGAAGAAGTCAATCAATGGTCTTGTCAACAAAGTGAATGTTTCTAATATAGAAAATATCATTCATGAGCTCCTTCAGGAAAATATCGTTCGGGGAAGGTAAGTTAGTATTTTAAAACAATTCTTCTGCTTTTTTGATATGTATGCTGTTCATGTGTACATCACTGTAGTCTATGGATGCTAGTCAGATTTTTAAGATTAATGTTAGGCTACTTTGCCCTATGCAGAGCAGTCCCCTGCTTGGGAAAGGGATTGTATACTTGGAGGAATAAGAGTGCAACAGATGGTATATGTTTCCTTAAAGGTTTTACTTTTGCAAGTCATTCAAGTGAAATGCATTTTACAGGTGTCTCTATTTCCTTTTGTATTCCTGGATGTTTCATGTAAGTCATGTAATATTTGTAGCCAATATTTAGCAAACCAAGTTTTACTACAGTTATCTGGCTGGATTGTTTATTGTTGTAGAGAAAAGATTATTACGCTATTTGAGCTCAGTACTAAGTCATGGTGACTGTGCAAGGACTTCAAGATAACTTTCCTTGCTTTAATTTTGATGTCAGTAGAGGTTAAATATGCTGGTGTAAAGGAGTATGGGTTTCTTAGATTGGCTACCATTTAAACAAACAAAATGAAATCACCACCAACAAAAAGCCCTCTGAGCAAAATATCCAGAAATAATTCTAATACGTTCCAGACAGATAGCAACACTTTTTCTGTCACAACTTAATTACTGTTATTTGAGGAGGTTATAGCTAAGGAATGCATTATTTACATGAATGTCATAGCTGATGTGAAGATCAGAATCCTGCAAACAGTATACAAGTAACAGAAGAGAATTAAGTAAAATGTAGAGTGAGCAAGTAGATCCCAAACGTGATTTCTGTTAAAAGTCATAATGATGTCTCAGTCTGTTGTAGAACTACGTTCTACTTTGATGCATTTTGTGTCCCTGAAACTTATTTCATATAAGCAGTAACAGTTTAAAAATGAGCTTATTAAATGCTTTTTAGAACACACTTGTCTCTGGAAGCTTTTGTGTGTGGCTTACAAGCTTATAAATTTCAAGATAATATAGATGGAAAATGGCACCATTTCCCTTCTTAGTTAATTTTGACTTCCAAGTTTGCACAGAGGTACATATAAGAGTAATTACGTGAAGTTCTACCTAGCTGTAAAGTCCTTTTCTGAGTTAGAATTCTAAGTAGAGGGTAAGTAGGATCTGAACCAGACCAATTTAATTCATGAGAAGTAACAGTTTCAAATGAAATATTCTATTTCTATTCACTAATTTGAAATGAATTCAATTCCATTTGTCAGCTCCAAAGTAAGAAAGAATTTAAGGTCCTTATGCAGTTCATGTTTAGTACCACATAGGAGGCTTTTAAGAAGATTACAGTAGACCACAGATAAGATAGAGTTGGATACAGCTGTGCACTTTGAAGATTCATATTTGGAGGGCTTTTTTTTTTGTTTCCTGTCACCCATTTGTAATGGAGTAATACAGCAAAAGTCTATATGCTAAAGCATTAGAAAAAGCAAAACTGAGGAGAAAAAATTTTCAGATATACTGTCAGTATAATAGGAGAACCATTATCTCATGAGCCCTATGTTTACATTCATTTAGTCTCTAAGTAGTAGTCTTCTGTTATCAGTTGTCAGTTCCAAAACATAATTATTATGTTGAAAATATGGAGTTTCATTTGACAAAAGCATTACTTTCCTCATTATGGTTTTACTGAACATTCAGTTTTATTACTCCTAGGTAGATCTTTATTGTTAGGGACCTTTTATAGAAATATTTTTATTTCTTACAGGTCTGGTTTTGCTTTTTTAAATTGTCATTATATTGGAACAGTTCTGTGTTTTTTCATAAATAGTTGCAGAGCAGATGTTTTTTCTGTCACAAACAGGATTTTGTTTTTTCAACTGAGGAGAAGAAACAGCAAAATCATACAAATTTAAAAGCTAAGAATAGCCTGTGTTGGAGTTGAAGAAGGGATAATTGCAGAATACAAGATGAAGACTTTTAACATGCTTATAATTTTCAAATATGTTTATAATATGAACAATATTTAGTGAAAGATGAGGTATCAGTTTAAGAATTTCTCAGCTCAGACACATTTGGGCAACACATTTTGCAGAACTCCAATTGTGGCATGATAAACAATGGTTTGAAAATGACCATCTGGTGTCTTCTAACTATTCCAACTGTACAATCCTATCTTGTGTGATACATACTGAATTAAACATTAAATGTTTTATTACCAGAAAAATCTTATGTATTTTTACAGGGGATTGCTATCTAGATCCATTCTGCAAGCTCAAAGTGCCTCTCCAATTTTTACCCACGTTTATGCAGCTCTCGTGGCAATTATCAATTCAAAGTTTCCAAATATTGGTGAATTGATTCTCAAGAGGTTAATACTTAATTTTCGCAAAGGATATCGCAGAAATGATAAGGTATGTAAACTGTGAAGAAGCAAAGTGCTGAAACTTATAACTCTGCTCTGTTAATCTTGCTTCAATGTTTAAATTACATACATCAAAGAAACACAGCCAAGACTTGTGGGTTGGGACCTATCATTAGTACATTAAGTCTAGTAGTATTAGTGTCATGAAAGTTTGACAACCTATTCTGGGTTGGTACTGTGATAGGGTGGTGGGGTGTTTTTTTGTGGGGTTTTTTCTTGTTTTGGTTTGGTTTGGGTTTTGTTGTTGTTTGGTTTTTTTTTAAGTGTACAGTCCTAATTGTGAACAACTATCAGTATCCCAAAATAGTTTCATGACTTAATTTGAGATGCAAAAAACCTATAGTATGTCTGAGTTACAGGTTTTTTTCTTCCACATACGATGTGCTAAAATTTCCTGGTTTATTTCTTTTGCAGCAACTCTGTCTAACATCTTCAAAATTTGTTGCACATTTGATGAACCAGAATGTGGTATGTTACTTCATGTTTCTACTCAATCCAAACCCTATATGGCTACTTCTTTAGTTTCAAGACAGCAGTAGTCTAAGTGAAGATGCTCTCTCTGTTCTAAAGGTTACTGAAAATCTGAGTTCAAATTTCCTTTTAATGCCTGCTTAAAGTTATTGGGACCTTTTCAGAAAAGACATTGGTAATTGCCTATGCAGTTATCACTTACCATTGCACTTGTGCTCCAGAGCTTCCCCAGACTTTGTAAATATGATTGCACTAGTAAGTCATAAATCTTGATAAAAGGCAAATGTCATCTAAGGCTCTGTCCCACAGGTCTTAGTTTCCTTGCAGCACAGAACTAGAGTCAGTTGCATCTAAATCAAATTTGTATCCAGCTCTATGACACTTTTTTTACATTAGAAATCGGGATACTCCAGTTTAAATAATGACAAGAAACAGTGTTTTAGGAATGCATTGGGAACATACAGCAGTTTGGTAAAGAGGAAACTAATCTGCTATGTGCCGTTTGCTTATATGCCTGATCCTGGAAGACCTGATTTAATTATCTACACAATGGATTTACGAGTAGTTTCTGTAATCTGTGTGCTGCTTTATTTGCTTCTTGGAAATGCATTCTGTTTTTTTTTTTTTTTTATGGCAAAATGTTTTTCATTGCTTGCTTGTTTGTTTCAGTCACATTCACTTCAAAGCTGGTGTAAATACAAGTAGTAAAATTGTATTTGAAATTTTGACTCCCTCGTAATTAGCTTTGTTCTAATGCTGTTGCCTTCTGTGTGATTAAACAAGTGTGTTGTGGCATCCTCAAAGGCTGCATCAAGTAAATCGCTGTAATAATACAGTAACACAGTACATTCTAATTTTTTTACTGATACTCTTTCCATAGGCTCATGAGGTTTTATGTTTGGAAATGCTCACTTTGCTTCTTGAAAGGCCTACTGATGACAGTATTGAAGTAGCAATTGGATTTATTAAAGAGAGTGGCCTCAAATTAACAGAAGTTTCTCCTAGAGGTATTAATGGTAAGTATAATTAGCCAGAACATTTCTTTTTGGTGTTTGTATTGGTAAATTGTTTATATTTACATGTCTGTCTTTTTCCAAAGCAATCTTTGACCGTCTTCGACACATTCTGCATGAATCAAAAATTGATATGCGTGTTCAGTATATGATAGAAGTCATGTTTGCTGTACGGAAGGATGGCTTCAAGGATCATCCGATCATTCCAGAAGGATTAGATCTAGTGGAAGAGGAGGATCAGTTTACTCATATGTTGCCGTTAGAAGATGACTACAACCCAGAGGATGTTCTTAGTAAGTTTGAAACAGAAGATAATTCTATTACTGCATTCCCCATAAAAACAAGTTTAAGTATTAAATTGTTTTCTCAATTTTGTATTTTAAATAAAGATTCTCTTTTATTCTAAAGATGTTTTCAAGATGGATCCAAACTTTATGGAGAATGAAGAGAAATACAAAACGCTGAAGAAAGGTAGGAGAGTGTGTGTATGTGTTTATATAGTACTTCTATATTTACACACCTATTTATAGGGTGTTTACTTGTCCAACTATTGTTACCAACCTTTATTATTTAATGGTGAGTGATATTTGTGTCTCAGATAAAGTCCTTCAGTTCATCATAGGCCTTTCCAACGTATTCCTGTTATTTTCTTCAGTATTGTTCATCTGGCTATGTTTTCATTTGGTTATGACACACCTATTTTCCTGGCCCTTCCACATTCTCCACCTGAGACACCCTTTCACTCCTAGAGGTTGGATCAAGGGGTTTTTGGTAATGAAACTGTTGTGGTCTATATTCCTTTAATCTGGGATACTGCCCTTTCAGAAATTCTTGATGAAGGTGACAGTGAATCTGAAGCAGATCAAGAGGCTGGAAGTAGTGAGGAAGATGAAGATGATGACGAAGAGGAGGATGAAGATGGTAAGTGTACAACTGGCATCTTACTAGTGATTGGTTGTAGGTGAAACAGGAGAGAAAAGTTTAACTTGTTATAAATTTTATGAAACTAAGAATATTCAAATGTTAAGGGATGTTTCAATCTTAAATGCTTAGATCTGAGAATAATTTACTAGCAAATCATATAAACGTAACTGTCTAAAAGGAAGTATTCAGCACAGGCAGAAAATGAAAAGCAACTTTGCCTGACTGTTCTTGACCAGAACAGTTTCATGTATTAAAAGCCTTGCAAACATAAGACATAAATAATGAATGTGAAGACCTTTTCCTAACAACTAGCAAAGACAACCTTTCTGGACACATTCTAGTGCTCTATCATAATTTTAAACCGCTTTCAAAATCAGAAGGGGTTTCCTTACAACTGTTTACATCCTCTATATCTCCCTCCTTAGTTCAGTTCAGCCCCCTTTTTTGTTCTTCAGTGGAAGCAGTCAGTATTTACACATTTTGAAAGAATGTATTTGATTCCTAGGAAAAAAAAATGATGAATAAGCATAACTGAAACGTTTGTGCAGACCATGTAAGTAACTGAAAAGCCAGCCAAGTCCTGTTCGTGTAGAATACCAGGAATGGGCTTCCTCACCAGTTTGCTGGGGTATTTCACAGAATAGCAGAGCTTCCAGGCTGATTAAAAGTGTGTGAATTCGCATAATGTTTCATCATTCATGCTATTACAAAACTAAAAGAAGGAAGGAATAGTGAATACGTTATGAATGAAGGTGTTCCCAGAATGATTTTGGCTCGGAATGGATTTTTCTACACTTGGTACAGGGCAAAACAGACCTTTGCAGATTGCTGTTACATAGATCCTAAACATAACAGAAACAAAGAATTTCCAGTTAAAATCAGGGAGGCTACATAAAGCATTGTATAGTTAAGTTATGCAGAAAATACCTTGCTACAATGTAGACAAATGTTAAACCCAGAGGTAGCAGTGGCTAAGTTACATGAAAGGCCTTAACAAGGAGAGTTGTCCTCTTAAAACTGTATCTCTAAATATTTACCTGTTACAGGGGAGGCAAATATTGATTTCTATTTGTTTCTCTTTCTGTGAAAATAAAACAAAAAAATCGCATAAACCTGCTAAACACTCATCATACTTTTAGGAAAAGCATTACATAGTGTGCTACGGACTCAGCTGTTCTAAGAGATTAAATATATCTGCCTTAATGTTTTGCTCTTTTTGTTTTTGTTTTTTTGTGTTTTTTTTTTTTTTGTGTGTGTGTTTTTTTTTGTTGTTGTTTGTTTGTTTGGGTTTTTTGGTTTTTTGTTTGGTTGTTTTTTTCCCTCAGGTCAGAAAGTTACTGTCCATGACAAAACAGAAATTAACCTGGTGTCCTTCCGTCGTACAATTTATCTTGCTATTCAGTCAAGGTAAATATAATATGCTTTGTATACCTATGAATGTAGTTCTTTTGAAAGGGATGAATTGGAATTCTCTTTCTCTTTAAATTCATTTATAATGTGCACGTCAAAAAAAAAAAAAAAAAGGTACGTAAGTGTTCTTCATGGAGTCTGACCTGATTTTATACAGTAGACTGTTTTGACAAATGGGTACCAAAATTTTCATTCTAAGATAAATCCTGTTTGCTTCCAAAGGTTTGAGTACTGCACTGGGACTTTTCTGTGAGGATTGTTGTAATCAAAATTTTCTGAGTGAACAGAAAGTGATTTTAAGATTATACAGCATCTTAAGTATTTAAAAAAATGTGTCATGCTTAAAGTAGAGATACTGTAGGGTTTCTCCACTTGTAAGGGTAAGGCTTCTACAGTGTGGCACCCCTTAGGCTTGTTGCCATCTGCACTGTTTGGAAAGTGAGTAGATACTGACCCTGGAGTGCAGTGTGATGAATGGCACAAATGATTGAAACATGGTGGCATAACATCTCTGTTGCATGGGTAAAAGGAGAGATTAATATGTTTCATGCCACTGAATTTCATTGTTAAAAGTAGATCTGGCCCACAATATTTTGCAAGTGTGAAGCTGCATGAGGTGTGAGATAATGTAGTTGTGGTATTAATCATTAGATGTGTCAATACCACATTGAGAGATATCTCTTATTTCTCAAAGTTACTATTCAATACTTCCTTGCTCTACTTAAGCTTGTTCATTTTATACTTGGGTGGGGGGAGGTAGCTAAAGGCTTTCAATATGCAAGAATGAGAGTGTGAAGAGGAGGGTGTGGTATATGCTGCTTTTGGAGCTCATGTACAATGTTTGCATTTCAGTGTTTTTCAGGATGTGCAAGATGAGCTCACATGTTTGTGTTTTGCTAAGTTTTTTTAAGATAATGTAATAGTAATAATGACCTGAGTCATCTTGTCTTCAGATTGTCTGCAAATGTAATGACTTTGAATTAGCTTTTAGATACAAACTCTTGAAATACAAAATGCTTATTAAAAAATACCACAACAACAAACCCCAACAAAACAAAAAACCCCAACAAAACAAACAGCTTTTGGAATGATAATGAGATGCTTCATTTCAAAACAGTTGCAGTTTCAGCATCAACAATCAATATAATTCTGAGATGTTTTTAGTGTAGCATATATTGTGCAGATAACAAGTTGTTTTTTTTTCTTATTGCAGCTTAGACTTTGAAGAATGTGCTCACAAATTGCTGAAGATGGACTTTCCTGAAAGTCAGACTGTAAGTCTTGCTTCTTACTCTTTTTTTTTCTAATTAACATTATTAAGAAATAGTACTATGTTAGTATCTAGAATCCTTACTCTTGTCCTGGGACCTAGTTTGTATAGCAAGCAGATGAGAGTGATTCTGTACAGCTGTTGTTCCTCAGTGTGTCTTACAACCTTAAGAGCAAATAGGCTGACATATTTTGTAAGCCATTTGTCTTATGCAATTGCTCCTTTCTGTCAAGCAGTTCAAATGTTTGCTCAGAGCCTGCTTGAAAAGGTTTGTTGGTTGGACTGTTGAAACATTTATGCTATGACAAAAGTACTGTAGCATGGCAGTCATTCTTATTCTCAGAGCTGTCTCCAAAAGAACTCAGAGTTGAAGATCATATTTGCAGGCAGCTGTAGACTTTATCAGTAGGGTTTGAGATTTAGCATAGTGCTAAAAGAATTTGTTGTTTTGTTGCGTTCACTTTGAATAATAGTGTATTGAATTAAACCATTTATAAGCATGATTGCGTTGTAATCTTCAGCCACTGTGTGTAAGGTTAATATGTTTATGTTTTCAAGTAAACAAAAATGTCCTGCTAGTACTTATACTAGATCCTGGTAGAATGGTAAATACCCATCTAATTATATAAACAGCTTTTCAGTCAGCTGTAAGCTATCTCCATGAGTTGTACTTGAGCTGTATAATTTTCTTGTGGCTTTAATTACCACTATGCTGTTTTATTTGAAACAATGTGTGTAGAAGTAACCTTACTAGTATAAGAGTAACTAATAAATGCAGATCTGGGCTACAGTTAGGTGTTCTTTGAAAACTTGGTTTAATCTCATAATTAGAAATTGGTTTGCCTGGTTTTTTAATTTCTTCTACTATTTTGTTACAAAGCAATTTATATGCAAGTAAATAATAATTCAGATTGCTGTGTGTTTTCTTATCTGATTCTTTAATTCTGTGCATGAAATGCAATACTAAGCATGTATAGGATTATAATTTTCATTGAAGTATAACCTGAAGCATTCTAAAAAGAAAAAATCCTGTTTTCCAGCAAATCAATCCAGTTAGAATAGAGAGAACAATCTAGAATATATATGCTAGATCATGTAACAGAAATATAACCTGTGTAACACTGATTATTAGGTAACTGCTCAGAGAACTGCTTAACTGTTGGTATTTAATACCATTGCAGTCTGTGTCAACTAACTATTCTGTGGACAAGATCTACTCAAAAAATAGATTCAGTGGGGAATTAAAAACAAAAACAGCAAGAAAAATTCAAAAAGCAGCGAACAACCCATTAGTCAGAATCTTTGCTGTGTAAAAACAAACAAAAAAAAAAAGTAAATTCTTTCACCACTTTATTTGGTATTTTTGAGATCTGACTTAATATTTGTTGCCTGATAATTTTCTTTTCCTTTCTGTGAATACTTTGCTTGCTGCAAATAAAAATAACCAGACATACACAGATGAATTTAAATTGTTACTTTTTGTATACTTTATGGGGTGCTAATTTACAGACTATGGATCTTTTTAGATTACATAATCCTGTGAAGGGCTTTATTTCTGTCTCAGCTTTGAGAAACTATATTTGCCCTATCAATCACAAATTAAGAATGTATGAATGTTCCTGTATGCAACAATAAATGTGCTCCAAGTAAATGCTTGGGTTTTTTCCTGCTTCAAACACAAAAACTGTTGCTCCTCATTTTGTAGGAAAGCTCTCAGAGCCACTCCCAGGTCTAGTTTTGCGACTTAAAGTATGGATAAATTGAATTATCTATATGGAACTGTTGGGAATCTGTTAAATGCAGTGCTAACTAATTTAGAGTACAGTAGCTTTGTGACCAGCGGCACTGTAATCTATTAAATGTTTCCGCTGACTTTTTTGTCTCTTTAGAGAATCTGTGATTGGAGGAGCCAAAATATGATATCCTGCTAGCTATCTAGTCAAGTTTCTAGACAGTATTACTTTGCTCCCTTAAGATCTCATTCCAACAGATTCTTTCCAATCACTTTGTGCTTTGGAAAATGTGTAAAATTCACTAAGCATGACAGTTTTTAATATTTATACCATTCTTTGAATACTACTACATTTAGATGAATGATAATTAATATATTTGAATATTACATTTTGCGGTGCTTAGATAATTTATTTTGGTTAGCACACCACCCTATTAAAAAAGAACCTGAGGTGATGTAGTTATGATTTAGCTGTAATTGCTATGAATTAAATGCTTTTCAGATAAATGCAGAAGTGTTATTTTTGGCATTGTGTGTGTGTGTGTGCACACAAGTATACATCTATCTAAAGAGATAAAAGTAAATTAGTATTAACCTATGTTTCACTATGACAGAATCCACAGTTCAGTGCTAGAAATTACTGCAATTCAAAGTTCAAAACTGCTGTAAAACTGCATCTTCTAATCACAAGAGGCATCTTTGTGCTGATTTCTTTTTTTTTTTTTTTTACCTAATAACCATCGTTACTTTTCACCATTTCTGTAATCAAAGAAGTGAGAGCTTTGACTTGCTCATTGTGTAGACTTACACCTCCAAAGAAGTGTTTATGGGGGGCAAAAAGAAAAACAAAAAACAAGGTTTCCTGATCAGTGTGAGAGCAGAAAGAGCAACCAGATACAGACAATAAAATTATTCAATGATTTAAGGGGCTCAAGTCTGTCCATGTGGATAAAAACCTGAATGTATTCAGCAGGAAATTTCTGGTTGAATTAACTGTCGGTTCCTAAACAAGGAAAATAATCTTTTATTCTTTCAAGCTAATATCTTCTGATTGAAACCTTTATTGAATTGATTCCCACTGCTTTCATTATCAAAACAAACCAAAGGATTATCTTTTTAGCCATAAAGCACTTTTGGTTTTTTTTTTTGGTCTGTTTTACTGAAAGCTTCAGCAACCTGTATTGCAAGATGTTGTGTCTTTATCTGTAATTTGCATCTTTATCCATAATTTCTTTGCACCTTATGATTCAAAGCTTTGACCAATCTTGAAGTTCCTGGAATGTTTGCTGAAATCTTGGGCGAATCTTCACTTTATGCTTGTAATAAAATTGCAATTTAGGTCGAGTGTAGGAGAGGCGATAATATCATGGTTGGCTGTTTCTTACAGTAAAGACCCTGTAGGGAAGAGCTCATTCTCTATGCCAACTTCTGCGATGAATGGCGATTGTCATGAGAAGCACGTATTTGAGTGTTTGACTGAAGTATCATTTAATATAGTTTCTATTCCTTAAAAGTCAGGTGAAACTTTAAATTCTCATGGCAAAATTTTTGTTCAAATTAAGTAATTTCACAGTAACTCCGTGCTTTCCACCTGAAACGCTTTACTTAATAAAGCCATCTTTCTTTAATCCTGTCTTTAAGACTGTTTTGCACAGGTTTTGAGTAATGAATTGTCAATTAAATACAATCTAAAAGCTGATAAGAATATTCAAAACCTAAAGAGACGTGAGCAACAATTTTGAGACTAATACAGACTTAACAACTTTCTTGCAGGTTAATTTTCTGTAAACCTTTATGTACGTTGATTTTTGGCATGATTTAGCAAGGCTGAGTTCAGGAATTTATTTAGCAGTTTTTATCAGTGGTTCAATTATCAGATTATTGTGTCATGTTAACTGCTGTGCAACACAAGTGTTTGTATGCTTAATAGCAGCAATGGATCTGTTGCATAGCTCTCACAGAAAGAGGATTAAGGTTCAAATGGATAATCTACAGAATAGAACAACGTAATACTGCTTTTTGACATTGCAGTTTAGTACCGGGTGCTGAGGGGGAACGTCAGCAGTCTCTCATTTTTATTAACTAGCCTAAAATTTGTGTGTTCTGACTTGAACACATTTTTCATTTTGCCATGAACTGAAATGCTGCTTTTTCAGAAGTGAATGATGTTGTTAAACAAACATCCATCTTCCGTTTCCTATCTGATTTGTGTGCAGTTAATTTTTAATCTCCAGATGTATACTCTTCTTTCCTCAGAATACTCACTTATTTCCACCTCCTCATCCTTTTTCCCACGTCTTCTGTTTTAGGTGAAAAGTTTGCCTACTACAGTGTCCTCTGTTTCTTTCTCTAGAAAACACCTTTTATTTCCACTGTTTTACAGGTTTACAAGCTCAGTTTTCATTTCCAGCTTTTCAGTTTTTCTTTTTTTCCTTGACTCTTTTCCTCATTCACTTATTTTTGCTCCAGGATTCTGGAAATATAATGTCAGCTTCTTGTACCTGGGCCTTGTCTTTAAACTGTCCTCATGATTACACTGGATCTGGTTCTTGCACTTTTTAATATTCTTTTCAGATGATTTCAGCATGTTCAATGTCATCTTCTGTGTCAAAGGGTTCTTCTTTAGAAGAATTAATTTTTATTGACTAAAATGCGTCATTTTCATTGGTATTTTATTAATGTTTGATAGATGTAAGCAATGTGTTTTCTTGTTTCTCTATCTTCATCTTTTTTTCTAATCTCTTCATTTTCTTCTTTCTCTAGCCTATTTTGGCATGTCATAGCAACCTTAAATGAGCAGAAGTGTTAATCCTCTGGTTTCTGTACTGCCTGTTTAATATTAATGTCCAGAAGCTATTTCAAAACTACTTTGTCACAAATTTTGTTCCTGATCCTTTTTCACACTGTCTTCCTCGTTGGAGATTTTATCCCCCTGTGCATGATGTTTTGTAGGTGCACTCTTGTTCTACCATTGTGGGGTGGGTTGTTTTTTTTTAAATAATTATCCTGTAACTCTTCTCAGCTCTATTACGAGAAATTTTCTTACATCTATTACTAAAAGCCTGTTCAAATTAATTTTGTTTTTCCTATTACTCTGTTTCTTATGACTTCAGCAGATTAAATGGTATCACTGTCTTCCTGCTTTTTTAAAATTATTCCCCTCTACTTAGTTTCTGACTTCTTTTCTGAATTCTTGTCCTGGTATGAAAACCATTTAAATTTTACTACTTTACTATCTTATGTGCTGACATCAATCCCCACTTGAGGAGTGG